AAACTCTCATTTATAGGGATAGAAACGTCTGAGAAAAATGCAGAAATTAGGTACCGCATTTCTTTTGTTAAATCTTCACCAATCTGGTGCTGTAAAAAGAAAATTGAGTGTCTGACTCACATGATCTGCTCTTTTATGGCTCCTTTTTAAAATCATTATATCGATCAGTAGAGCCCTGGGAAATTGAAGCCATAGCAGTTAAAGATTTTGTTGTAATATTGAATTAGGCTCCAATAATAGAGAATGTGACTTTGAAGGAAAAACTGGCTTTATTGATTTGGGATAGATAAAGTACTGTGGTAAATTTTCTACCAGCGGATTATAATAACAGTTTGTTAACAGAGAGGTTTGAAATTTTAATTTTATTTTGTTTTACTATTGCTGTTCTTCCTGTTTACTACTTTGTCACTAATATAGCATGGTCCAATGAGACATGAATTGACCAGTAGGCATGAGTAATGTGTTTGAACGTGTGTGTAAAATTATATAATACTAATAAATTATTATCTAAATAAATCTAATTTACTTATTATAGGGAACTTTTTCCTCTTTGAATTTTGGCTCGCTTTAATCACCATAAACTATAGGGGTTTTCTCTCTGACATTATCACAGTTATATAATTTCCACCTTAGTTAAATTTCACTGTATAGGTCGTCCTCAATCTACGACCACAATTGAGCCCAAAATTTCTGTTGTTAATGAGAAATTTGTTGAATTGAATTTTGCCTCACTTTACAACCTCACTTGCCACAGTTGTTAAGTGAACCACTGCAGTTGATAAGTAGGTAACATGGTTGTTAAGTAATTTTTCCCCCAGTGCTGTTGTAACTTTGAACCGTCACTAAACGAACTGTTGTAAAACGAGGACTACTTTTGCTAATGAATGCGAAGTCATCCCCTAAAATAGGCTGAGTCATCTGCAGATTGTACTGCAAAGTCGTCGTTTTTAATCTCCCCTTTGTTGAAATGTGCCGGAGACATCACTTTTACAATTGAGGACAGAACAATAGGGAATTAAATGACTAATTTCTTGTGCGGAAACTTCATCCGAAGTCAAAGTCAAGGCTTAAGGGATTGGGCAAAACACAGCACTGTCTTGGGCAGCTGATAAAAGTTCTGAAAAGCTCTGAAAAGAGATCCCAGCAAAGAATGAAGAGGCTGTTGCAAAAGATCCTGCAGATAGGAAACTGATTCCTGGAGCATTTATTAGGAACTAATGGGGGGGAGAAAAAAATGTCCATTTTCAAAGCGACAATGAAACTCTGAAAACGGCAATTAAATTAAGCCACTGAAGTTCATGTTCCTATTGTTTGATCTGCTTGTTAGGTATGCTATTATCAATTGAGACATTTGATTTATTGCAGTGTTCTTAAAAACTTGGCAACTTGAAGGCGTATGGACTTCAACTCCCAGAATTCCCCAGCCAGCATAGCTAGGGAATTATGGGAATTGAAGTTCAGTGTCCACCCATCTTCAAACTGCCCACACTGATGGCTGAGAAATTCTGGGAGTTGAAGTCCACATGTCTTCAAGTTGCAAGGTGGAAAACACTGTGTCAGACTTCGATGCTATCTCAAAATAAATGAATTTCCAAGCTGCCAATCTTTAAGGAAATCTTTTCTTTAATTGAGCACAGCCACCGGATCATGACTCGATGCGGACAAGACTGACCTTTTGCCCCCCAATCCCTCCCTTTCCGATCCCCAAATCTCTGCTTCTCATTGGCTATCTTCCAAGTCATTCTTCAGACTTCTTGTCTCATCATTTCCCAGGAATGTCTCCCCGCTTCATTTCTACAACAACCCGACACCAAAGGGATTTAGCAGGCAAAAGTTCAGAGCTTATCTCTCTCTCTCCTCTGCTCTCTATGCCAGCATCGAAACGCTGACACACTGGTTTACAGCTTTACCAGGAACCAATCTATGATCAGAAAAGTTTTGAACCAATGTCCAGATCTAAGAATTTTTCTTAGGACTGCATAATATATTAGATAGCGCCAGCAAGTATTACAATATGGCTCCTTTTGTTTCCATGTTTAGAATTCTCTTTTTACATCAAAACTCACGGAATATATATATTTGCATTGTCTTCATATTTCTAACCTTGGTTTAGGGTGATTTTTTTATCACCATCAAGAATGCCCTTGTGGAAAGTTTTGTGCTCTCCCTGCAGTGGTTCAGGCTCTTTATAACTCCAGACTTCTTAATTTTGCATGCCATGGTATAGATAGTCCTTGACTTACGACCGGCTGCTTAGTGACCATTCAAAGTTATGACGGACATCCCTTATAACCAGAATTTGAAGTTCTGATAATGGCCTCTCCACGGTTACTTGAGTGTCTTCGGGTGCATTTATTTATTTATTTAATTTATTTATTTTATTTTATTTGTATACCGCCCTTCTCCCAAAAGGGACTCAGGGCGGTGAACAGCCAAAATTAAAATACATACAATACAAAAGTTAAGATAATTAAAAGAGATTAAATCAATCGGCCTCCCAATTTAAAACCCCAAGTCTATAAAATTTAAAAATCCCATTAAAAACCATTTAGGCTGGGCCGGCTTGCTGGAATAAATAAGTCTTCAGGGCCGGAGGTCCAGGATCAGTTCCAGGAGGTAGCTCATTCCACAGGGCGGGTGCCCCCACAGAGAAGGCTCTCCCCCTGGGGGCCGCCAGTCGACATTGCTTGACCGACGGCATCCTGAGGAGGCCCTCTCTGTGGGAGCGTATTGGCCGGTGGGAGGTTATCGGTAGCATACTGGCATTTGCAGTGCCCTGTGATTACATGATTACATTTTATGACATATTTTTTTTTGTTACAAACCAGGTTTTCAGTAAAAGCAATTCATAGCAATGCATTGATTTTCTTAATGACTATGGTATTTGCTTAATGACCAGAGTGGTTACTTTATGACTGCGGTATTTACTTAATGACTGCTGCAAAAAAAGATCATAAAATCTTGTCACTGATGTAAGTGGTCTGATTTATGACCATCTTCGGTCATATCTATTATAGCTATGAAGGACAGGCTTTGTTGTGGCTGTAATTTGGGGACTGTCTCTATTCCCTGTGGCCCTCTACGGAAGGGAAAGGTGGACTTTGAAGAAGCAGGGGAGAAGCATTGGTGCTTTTGAAGATTGGAGTTGGAGAATGCATGGACAGCCAAGGAAACACATTAAGAGATCATCAAAACATGTCAACTCAAGAACCCAGAAGAAAAAGAGTTCTCACTCCAGGCACAAATAACCAGTGTAAAATTTGGTACATCATATGCAAAGACCCAGCTTCCTGGAGAAGCTTCTAATGCTTTCTAATGCTGGAAAGAAAGAGAAGGAGGAGAAGGAAGAAAAAGAAGGAGGAGGAGAAGAAGAGGAAGAGGAGGAGGAAGAGGAGAAGATGACAGAGGAAGAGGAAGCGGAGGGGAAGAAGAAGAAGAGGAAGAGGAGAAGAAGCGAAAGAGGAGGAGGAAGAGGAGAAGAAGCGAAAGAGGAGGAGGAAGAAGAGGAAGAAGGAGGAAGAGGAAGGAAGATGAGGAAAAGGAAGAAGGAGGAGGAAGAGGAAGGAGGAGGGGAAGAAGAGGAGGAGAAAGAAGAAAAAGAAGGAGAAGGAGGAAGAGGAGAAGATGACAGAGGAGGTAGAGGAAGAAGGAGGGGAGGAAGAGGGAGGAGGAGGAGGATGGGAAGGAGAGGAGGAGGAGAAAGATGACAACTAGCAGCGGAGTGGATGGACTCAGTTATGGTGCTGATAAGGGCATTCTTCAGAAGAACCGAAGGGCCAGGTTGGGGATAGATCATCAGGTGCCCCTATGTGATTGGTAAGGTCCAACAGTGTCTTGACAGAATATGATCAGTCAATGAAAACAAAGACCCAGATTCCATGAATTGTTTGGACATATGGAAGGACAGAATAGAAGAGGACAACCAGCAGAAGGTGGCTGTCATTTGTAGTGTCCTACAATCTTATGACAGTTATGACAAAAACTATGGTTGAGAAATGTCTGTGGAGATGCTCAGCCATCCAGTTCGTAGTTATCTCAAAGGTGCTTTTTCAAAAGGCAACTAGACTGTATTTAATTTGAAGAAGACGTTTTGCTTCTGCTCCAAGAAGCTTCATTAGTCGAGAAGGTTTATAATTGTTTGTAGACCCATTGTACAGGGGGTGGGGTGGGATCTGTTAGATTCATGTGAGAAATATTTTTCAACATTCAACCATTCACACGATATGTGATCAATATTTAGCGTTGATTCTAAACATGTTGTGCAAACTTCTTTATTATTTCTTTCTTATTCTTTTTGCCTTGTCTTTTGTTTTTCTTTTTTATCGTCTTTCTAGGGGTTTATTTTATATGTAGTACCTTCTCTTTGAAATAAATATTACTTTAAAAAAAGTTATCCCAATAAATAGCATTTTCAGATAGTTCTCAATGAATGACCCAACCACTATTGAGCCCAAAATTTATGTTGTTAAGTGAGAAATTTGTTGAGTGAGCTTTGCCTCATTTTATGGCCTCTCTTGCCACAGTTGTTAAGTGAATCATTGGATTTGTTGTTCAGTTAGTAACACGATTGTTAAGTGAACCTGGCTTCTCCACTGACTTTGTTAAAGGTCGCAAAAGGGCCGAGAACACAGCAACCGTTATAAATATGAGTCAGTTGCCAAGTTCCCGAATTTTGATCATGTGATCATGGGGATGCTACAATAGTTGTGTGAAAAATAGTCATAAATCACCTTCTTCAGTGCCATTGTAACTTTAAACGCTCACTAAACAAATGATCAGAGGCCATTTTATGAGTATCACCTTGCTTAATAATCATATTTACAACCATCATAACTTAGGACGATCAGGCTCCATTATGGTTGTAAATCGAGGACTACCTGCCGTAAACCATTCCCAACTGGGAAAACGAACCACTGGGGTCCCTGTAGTGAATTCTGGAGGGATGACAGTCAGAACTGGTTTCCTTTCCTTCCCCAAAATTAATCACACAGACTTTGAAATCCAGAAATGTAGAAGTGTTTATTTTTGAAAATATTTACACTTTTATTTCAACATCACATAAAAATTCTTGGAGAGCCTAACTAGATCATTCCAGTGTAACACAACTTTTGGAACCAAGTTCATCGTTTCCTTCATTTTGAATACATTTTTAATACAAAGTTTCCCTTTATAAAACAAAACTGTAATTTTTGAGGCTGGGGTTCAAAAACCAGAGCAATGACTCTGTTACAGGCTACAGGTTTTCTCCTTCCCCTTTCCATCTCATTTTAAATTTCACCTCAAACTAGTCCAGTGTTTTCAAACGAGGCAATTTAAAGATGTGTGGACTTCAGTTCCCAGAATTCCCCAGCCAGCATGCAAGGACTCCAACCCCCAGAATTCCCGAGTCTGCATGTGTGGCCTTCATCTTCCCCAATCACCCATGGGAAGGGGAATTGAATTCTGGGAATTGAAGTCCATTCATCTTAAGTTTGAGAAATATCAACCACCACACTATGCATCTGATGAAAGCTTCTGCCTTTGAATAAAACGTTAGCTGAAAAAAGGGCAATCAGATTCCTTTTGAATTTTGGCTGTTATACACTAACATAGTTTATTCAGACAAATTTGCAGTCTAGCCTAAAAACCTTGTTTCTAAAGGTGGAAATGGATGTCCTTATAAATCACCCTCACTGAAGCTCAACTATGTTTTGTCCACACAGAATCAAGAAATATTGAAAAAGCAGATGTTTTTAGAAATCTACCTTTCTATTTCAAGACTGCTAATACTTCCTAAAAAATAGGGTCACCTACATAGGAAAAGTGGGGGTCAGAAAAGTCAAAATGGCCGATGGCTAAAGCTTATATGAAGGATCTCTAAACATGGCAACTTTAAGACTTATGGACTTCATTTCCCAGAATTCCTCAGTCAGCCATGTTGGCTGAGGAATTCTGGGAGCTGAAGTTCACAAGTCTTAAAATTGCCAAGTTTGGAGACCCCTGGTTTATATTATGAGATTGCATCCTCATGTTGACTTTTTTAGCCCCTACATCAATGCTTCTTAAGTCATCTGACTCAATTTTTTCTTTGGCTGGTCTCAAATAATGTCACAACCCCTACAAAAAAAAACCTAGACAATTATTTTACACAAGCATCACAGCAAAACTCTCTCACACTGGATTCCCTGTTCACAAACAGGCGTTTACAAACTGATGCATGAACTTTCAAAATAGGTCCGTCTGACCAAAACAAGGCCTTCTTAAGGGCTAATCATGTCCCCTACAGTAACTCAAAAACACTCTATTATACAAAAAAGATGGCAGGAGTGTAACTCCAAGCAACAACAAAACAAACCAACAATCACAGCAATCTCAGCAGCATCCATGTGTGTTTGCAAGGGTTTTTTTTTGCAAGCACCAGAAGGCAGGAGAAGAAGCAACGGTTGGAAACTAATCAAAGAGAGAAGCAGCCTAGAACTAAGGAGAAACTTCCTAACAGTGAGAACAATTAACCAGTGGAACCAGCTTGCCTCCAGAAGTTGTGGGTGCTCCAACACTGGAAATTTTCAAGAAGAGATTGGACAACCACTTATATAAAATTATAAAGGATTTCCTGCTTGAACAGGGGGTTGGACTAAAAGATCTCCAAATTCCCTTCCAATTCTCTTCTTCTGTTATTCTGCATCCCGTTAGAAGTTAAAACTGGATTCAGCATAGATTTAACTAAATTCAAACAATTATAGAAACCAAGCTAGAGAGAGTTCAGTTAAAATTTCAGAAACACACCATCAGGGAAACCAAGAGGTACAGGTAGTCCTTGACTTATGACCAAAATTGGGGCTGAAACTTGTCACTAAACAAGATGGTTGTTAAGTGAGTCATGTCCAATTTTATGTCCCCCCCCCCCGGTTGTTAAGTAAATGATATGTTTGTTAAGAGGATTTGGCTTCCCCCATTGACTCTGCTCATCAGAAGCCCTGCTGGGAAAGTCAGAAATGGTGATTGTGAGATCTCATAACACTAAACCGATCATAAATACATGCTTTTTGCTCAGTGGCCAAATTCTGATGATGACACTGGCTGTGACGGTTGTAAGTGTAGGAACTGATTGTAAATAACATTTTCCCCCCAGAACTGTTGTAACTTCGAATAGTCACTAAACAAGTGGTCATAAGTAGAGGATTACCTGTATGGGCTAAAGTGGAAAACCATAGCAAGCTACTTCAATTCTATTGCCAAGAAAGTTGCAAAAACTCCCCTCTAGAATTTATAAATATATATATATACATATATACGTATATTTAATTAAACATTAGGCAAAGCCATTGTGTAATCTTTCTAGCTTTTCTATTAGCAGGCTGTTATGAACATAAACCACATTTTAGCAAAATCTATAAATCTAATCTCTGATGCTCACTAAAAAAAAAGAAGAAAGAAATGGCTGTTCTTTTATCATCCTAAAAATGACAAATTTAATTCCCCGTCATTTTTTTTTTCTTCTTCTTTTACTTTTGAGTAAATATGTATTGGAGCCTTCTGAAGAATAGATTTCCCTGCTCTGTGAAACTAGAGACACGGATTCTTTATTCATAAAAAATAGAATAAAATATATTTATTTATCTGTTCCTTTGGGCCCAAGATTGGCAGATTCTGCATGTTAAATCTGTATTTAGTCCGGGCGAATAAAAGCACAAAGCAATCAATAGAGGCTGCATCAAATCCAGGAGGAAAAAAACAAAACGATTTCCTGAAAAATATAGAAGGGAAGTGCCAATTGGAGAGCCAGACTGGTGCACTGTTTAAAGGCACCGGGCTAAAAACTAGAAGACAGTGAGTTCTAGTTTTGCTTTATGCACAAAGCCAGCTGGGTAAGCTTGAGCCAGTCACTCTCTCAGCCCTATAAAGGAGACAATGGCAAACCACTTCTGAAAAACTTTACTAAGAAAACTGCAGGGATTTCCAGGCAGTCTCTGGGAATCACCTTATTATGTGTTTTTATTTTTATTTTTGTAAAAATGGACTCAACAAAGTGATTAAACAGAAGGGAGAAAATCTATATCATAAATATTATATAAATAAATACTTTTTATTAGTTCTTTTTGAAAGGCTAGTGGGGGGAAGGGAAAAGTTGAACAGAGAGTTTGATGTAATGGTTACAGCTGGCCTAGAAATTGGAAGGCTGTGAATTCCAGTTCTGCCCTAGGCACAAAACCAGCCAGGTGACTTTGGACCAATCATCAGGAGACAGTGAGTTCTAGTCCCGCCTTAGGCTCGAAAGCTGGCTGGGTGACTTTGTGCCACTCCCTCCCTCTCAACTCAGCCTACCTCACAAGATTGTTGTTGTAGGGGAAATCAGAGGAAGGGATGCTAGGGTGCCTTGAGTTGCATAACAAAGATATAAATCAAAAATAAATGGTGGTTTTTAAAAAGAGGCAATTGCATTTTCCTAGCTGCCATCTCGACTTTTTGACACCAGCTACACATTCTCTCCTTGCAGTGTCTCACTTGGTCATTCTTTCCAGCCAAAGAATTAGGATTTTGGACAACAAGGGAAGGTTCCTTGCTGATATTCCTTTCCAATTCTGCTTCTTCCCACTGCCCCCATTAAAAAAAACGAACTGCAGTTCCTCTGAAAAGAAGAGCATTGTATCAAAGCAAAGAGTTTTTTTCTGGAGAAATAAACCCAAGTTTCTTTTTTGGGAATTAAAAATGGGACGGAAATATAGTTCCAGAAGGGAGGGGAGAAAACTACAAGGGAAAATAGCTCTCACCAGACTAGTGGTTCTCAACCTTGGAAACTTTAAGACATGTGGACTTCAATTCCCAGAATCCCCCAGCCAGTTTGGGTGGACTTCAACTCCCAGAATCCCTCAGTTAGTGTGGGTGGACTTCAATTCCCAGAATCCCTCAGCCAGCTTGGATGGACTTCAGCTCTCAGAGTTCCCCAGCAGGGATTGGTGGACTTCAAATCCCAGAATACTCCAGCCATCTTGAGTGAACTTCAGCTTTTATGCTGGCTGGGGAATTCTGGGAATTGAAGTCCATTTGTCTTACAGCGACCAAGGTTGAGAAACACTGTTCCAGGCAGATCAAGGGGCTTTGGGCTTGTTCACACAGCTGCAGTTTGTTTTATACTGTGAAAGCTAATCCTGGTTGGAGAGGTGGGCATGGACATGGCACGGGCCACGCGTACCCGGAGGGAGTGATGGTCCTGCCAACGGTGCCACCTTTTTCGAGCTGCAGAACGCACCTGGAAAATAAAAAAAAAGAGAGGAATCTGGTTAGTGGTCCTATTATGGGGTGGATCCAGAGATCCTTCTCTAAGTGAAAATAAATCACCTTTTACTACCTTAATAAAAAAGGGCGAATATTCCAATATCCGTTCCCCTCAGTTTCCCTTTTTCATATGTCAATTCAGATTTGCCACTATTTTTTAAAAAAAACAAGGCCCACTAAGATTTCTATTATGTTCAGGTATCCTTGCATTACGACCACAATTGAGCCCAAAATTTCTGTTGCTAAGCAAGACAGAGATTTTGTGAAGTGAGTTTTGCCCCATTTTACGATCTTTCTCGCCACAGTTGTTAAGTGAATCCCTGCAGTTGTTAAGTCAGCAACACGGTTGTTAAATGAATCTGGCTTCCCTATTGACCTTTGCGGATTAGAAGGTCAAAAAAAAGGGGATCACATGACCCCGGGACACTGCGACTGTCATAAATATGAGTCAGTTGCGAAGCGCAACGGTCATAAGCGTGAAAAATGGTCATAAGTCACTTTTCTCAGTGCTGCTGAAACTTCAAACGGTCACTAAACTAACGGTTATAAGTTGAGGACTATCTGTACATGTATGCATTTTGTACTGATTTTGCCTCCAAATCTCGAGGGATCTGAGGAGATTCCAATATGGGACTCTGCTGCATCCCATTTCAAGAGGAATCCCCCTCCTCTCACTCAATGGCCTCCTCACATTTATGAATGTGAAAATCAGGGCCAACCTTTAAAGCAGGGGTGTCAAACTCGATTTCATTGAGGGCTGCATCAGGGTTGTGTTTGGCCTTGGGGGTCAGGTGGGCGAGGCCAGCTAGGCGTCACTCATGTCGGGGGCGCCTGTGGCGGCCCCAGCGCTCTGCCAGTGAAAACATAGGGCCTTCCCGAGCTCCGTTTTCACTGGCAGAGCGCTGGGGCCACCACAGGTGCCCCTGACCTGAGTTTTCGCTGGTAGAGGCACAACGGGGCGGTCCTTCACTGTTTCCAGGATGGCCCCGTGGGCTAGATCCGGCCCGCGGGCCTTGAGTTTAGGGTTGCCAGATCTGCTTCCAAAAAATAGAGGACAAGCGGGGGTGGGGGGTGGGGTTAAGTAGTAAAAAAATAAAAAATAAAAATTTACAATTAAATTATATATTTTCTTACAAACATTTTAACACGTATTAAAATAATCACTTCAAAACTTTACTTAAAATTCAAAACATCAAATATTATAATAATATGTAAAATATTAAATTACATTTTAATTTCATCATAAAGCTTTTGAATAAAAAAAATGTCCACTATTTTGTGGAAAAAAATAGTGAACATAATGTGAAAAAAGCGGACTGTCCGCTCAAATAGTGGACACCTGGCAACATTACTTGAGTTTGACCCCCCTGCTTTAAAGCAAGTGTGAAAAGTGGATCTGGAATTTATCTTTGTTGGTCAGATACTCCACATTACTGACTGTCACTTTCCTGAAGCTGATAGGACTGCTAATAGAAAATAATTAATCCCCCCAAAATGATGGCGTTACCACAGAATTACTGGTAGTCCTTGTCTTACAACTGTTCATTTAGAGACCATTCATTCTATTACGGAACTGGAAAAAAGTGTGATTCACACTTACAACCATTGCAGCATCCCCATATGTCACGTGATCAAAATTAGAATGCTTGGCAACTGGCATGTACTTATGACAGTTGCAGTGATCCCCTTTTGCGACCTTCTGACAAGCAAAGTTAATGGGGAAGTCTTAACAACTTAACAACCGTGTTACTAACAATTGCATTCAACAACCATGGCATAAAACATGGCAAAACCTATTAACAATTACCTTGCTCAGCAGCAGAAATTTTGGGCTCAATTTTGGTCGTACGTCAAGGACTACCTGCAACTGTTTTAATTAGAGAATATAATATGTCTAATTTTGTTTCTAGAAACCGCTTCTAGATTTTATGCCGAACATAGAAAAAATGAAGCCTCAACATTAGGTTTTGCTGATTACTTTGTTGTTATAGCAATAGCTAGTATTTACTAAGTATGGAAAAGTAAAAAAGTTGGGGCTGTATTTTTATTTTGTATTTTACTACTTTGAAAAATATTGGAAGTCAAAGCTTTTTTTTCCTTATTCATTTTCTCCTTTATCCCACAGTTCTTCCCTTCCCATTTCATTTGTATTTTATATAATGATAATCTTAATAAAAGATTACTTATATTATATTAAATATAAATATTATTTTATTAAAAGTACCATTTTACTTTTTAATATAAAATAAATTTAATATAATATAAATATTATATTAAAATATTTATATTATACTTAATGTATCTTTATATTAAAAAGAGAAAATGAATAATCCCACAAATGTGATTTTGAGGGCAGATATTGGAAGCAGCTCACATACTGAAATTTACTCCTTAGTAGATAATAATTCATTTTCCACTTATCTTTCATTTCAGTCTTCCCTGTATAAAATTAACGGTGCTCTTCTTGGGGTGATTGGAGAATAATTATATCTAATAATTCACATGTTGTTTGTTGCAATTTGGAACAGTTTTCATTTCTTCACAAACAATTAATTCCCTTTAGTTTAATAAAAACAGAGATAGCGCAACTTACCTCACTGTTTAAGAAGCAGTAAAACACAGACACAAAAAAACCCTAGGGAAAAAAAAAAGAGAAATATTAAGAGGTATTCATCCCCTCGGGATGAAAAAAGAGAAAACATTTATAGGAATAGAGGAGTTGTGTGCAATTTAGATGCAAGCTTTTACATATTAAGATGTAGCCTATAATAATAGTTATGTCTCCCCCAACCTGGCAGTTTCAGAGAAGTTTAAACTTCTCCCAAACCTGTTTAAATTTTAGGCAAAATCTAGTGATGGTCTAGGGCAGGGGTCTTCAAACTTGGCAGCTTTAAGACTTGTGGACTTCAACTCCCAGAATTCTCCAGCCAGCATAGCTTTAACTTTCTAAGATTGAAAAATACTGATCTATAGATATGAGGAAGCTCAGCTGCATTCTTTTAATTACAATTCTACTCTCTATTAATAGTGCTGGATTTTAGATGCAAGAAACTAGTCCAAGTGATACATTTCAAATATCGATGATAGGGACAGAAATTATAAGATAGATCTTTACATACAGAGATCCAAAATTTTAGACAAATGGCAGTCTGATCACTTCTTGAAAACCTCAAGTAATGGAGCACCCATAACTTCTGGAAACAAGTCATTCCATTGATTAATTATTCTCATTGTTAGGAAATTTCTTCTTAGTTCGAAGTTGCTTCTCTCCTTGATTAGTTTCTACTTGTTGCTTCTTATCCTGCCCTCAGGTGCTTTGGAGAATAGCTTGACTCCCTCTTCTTTGGGGCAGCCCCTGAGATATTGGAAGGCTGCTATCATGTCTCCCCTAGTCCTTCTTTTCATCAGAGTAGGCATTCCCAGTTCCTGCAACCGTTCTTCATATGTTTTAGCCTCCAGTCCTCTAATCATCTTTGTTGCTCTTCTCTGCACTCTTTCCAGAGTCTCAACATCCTTTTCATATCGCGGTGACCAAAATTGGATACTATATTCCAAGTGTGGCCTTACTAAGGCATTATAAAGCGGTACCAACTTCACGCAGTCTTGATACTCACTTCCTGATTCTGCACACCACTTACCTGAAAAGACTGCAAGAAGGAATTGAAGTAGATGAAAAAGATCTGGGATATGTCATCTTCTCCTGGGTTGACAAAAAACAGCATGTAGGTAATTCCCAGAAGCGGCAGGAGGACTAATGTTGCTTTGACTGCCTTCCTGTTAAGGAGAAGTCAGAGATCAAGTCTTGCGCCAGGATGACCGTCATTGACAAAAATCCAGACATACCCATACATCCAACCCCATCCATTGCTTCTTGTCCTGACTTCGGGTGCTTTGAAGAGCCCTGGTGGCGCAGCGGTTAGAATGCGGTATTGCAGGCTAACTCTGCCAACTGCCAGCAGTTCGATCCTCACCAGGCTCAAGGTTGACTCGGCCTTCCATCTTTCCGAGGTCGGTAAAATGAGGACCCAGATTGTTGGGGGCAATAGGCTGATTCTGTAAATTGCTTAAAGAGGCCTGTCAAGCACCATAAAGCTTATCTGCACTCTTTCTAGAGTCTCAACATCTTTTTTATATTGTGGAAACCAAAACATACCATACAGGTATTCCTTACAACCATTCATTTATTTATTTATTTTATTTATTTATTTTATTCGGCTTATATGCCGCCCTATCTCCTAATGGACTCAGGGCGGCTCACAATAATAAAAACACAAGCCACAATACAAAATAAAATCTAAAATCTAAAAAATTTAAAATTTAACCCTTAAAACCCCATCAGTCCAGGTTGAGGGATTTGAAAAGGGATTTTTAATTCACGGCAGAAGATGCGAAGCTCAGGCGCTAATCGGAGCTCCAAGGGGAGTTGATTCCAGAGGGTGGGCGCACCCACTGAGAAGGCTCTACCCCTGGGGGCCGTCAGCCGACACTGTCTAGCCGACGGCACCCTGAGCAGGCCCTCTCTATGGGCGCAAACCGGGCGATGGGATATTGTTGCTGGCTGTAGGTGGTCTGCCAAATATCCTGGACCTAAGCCATGTAGGGCTTTATAGATCATCACCAGCATCTTGAATCTCACCTGGAGGGCAACCGGTAATCAATGCAAGCCGCGCAGGAGGGGTGTAACATGGGAGTATCGGGATTCTCCCATCACAACCCGCGCGGCTGCATTTTGCACCAGCTGAAGCCTCCGAGTGGTCCTCAAGGGCAGCCCCACGTAGAGAGCATTGCAGTAGTTAATCCATGAGGTGACCAGCGCATGAGTAACTGTGCGTAGGGCATCTCGGTCCAAGTAGGGATGCAACTGGCACACCAGACGTATCTGGGCGAATGCCCCCCTGGTCACGGTCATTATATGATCTTCTAAGCTCAACCGTGAATCCAGGACGACGCCCAAGTTGCGCACCCTATCTACAGGGGGCAAAACTTCACCCCCTATAGTCAGCGATGGCACCGCTCCCCTGAACTGAGATGCCGGTACCCACAGCCACTCGGTCTTGGCCGGGTTGAGTTGCAGTCTGTTTCTACTCATCCAGACCTGTACCGCTTCCAGGCACCGGGCCATCACATGGAGTGCATCACTGGGTTGGTTTGGGGTGGAAATGAAGAGCTGAGTATCATCAGCGTACTGATGATACCTCACCCCAAAACCACGGATGATCTCCCTTAGCAGTTTCATATAAATGTTGAACAGGAGGGGCGAGAGGACCGACCCCTGGGGCATCCCACAGGTGAGGGGCCTCAAGGTCGATCTCTGCCCCCCTGCCAACACCACTTGCGTTCGACCTGAGAGGTAGGAGGAGAACCACCGTAGAACAGTGCCTCCCACTCCCAGCCTCTCGAGGCGATGCAGCAAGATACCGTGGTTGACGGTATCAAATGCCACCGAAAGATCCAATAGGACCAGAACAGAGGAATAACCTCTGTCCCAGCCCTCTAGAGATCATTCACCAGCGCGACCAATGCCGTCTCCGTGCTGTAGCCAGGCCTGAAACCCAATTGGTACGGGTCGAGGTAATCCACTTCATCCAGGATCAGCGGGAGCTGACGCGCCACCACATTCTCGACAACCTTCGCTAAAAAATGGAGGTTGGAGACTGGCCGAAAATGACTTAAAATAGCTGGATCCAAGGCCAGCTTCTTGAGGAGGGGCCTCACCACCGCCTCCTTCAAGGTGGTCGGGAAGTTTCCCTCCCTCAAAGAAGCCACTATCACCACCTGGATCCAGCCTCGTGTCACCTCCCGGGCTGAATAAACCAGCCAGGAGGGACATGGGTCCAGCACACAGGTGGCCGCACTCAGATTCCCCATGATCCTGTCCACTTCCTCTGGGGTAACAGAGTCAAACTCTTCCCAAAGCACAAGACCCGCTGCCTCACCCCCTGTCTGACTCTGTCCAGTCAGAGTCCAAGCTGTCCTGAATCTGAGCGATTTTGTCTGACAGGTGCTGACCAAATTCCTCGGCTCGTCCTTGTAAAGGATCTTCCCTCACTCTCTGATTTAAGAGTGAGCGGGACACCCTGAACAGGGCAGCCGGACGATTCTCTGCGGATGCGATGACATCGATGAAGTAGCGGTGCTTTGCCGCCGCCAACTCCACCAGGTAGGCTCGTGTGGCCGACCTTAACTGAAATCAGTCAGATTCGGAACGACTGGCTCTCCAACGGCTCTCTAGACCTCGTCTACGCCGCTTCATCCCCTGGAGCTCCTCGGTAAACCAGGGAGCCAACTGGGGTCTGCGACGAGTCAGAGGTCACAAAGGAACGACTCGGTCCAGAGCCCCAGCAGCTGCCTCTTCCCAGGCCTCCACCAGGGTTGTGGCTGGGGCATGGGAGAGAGAGAGAGGGATCATCCCAAACTCCGTCTGGAACCTCTCTGGGTCCATCAGGCGCCTGGGGCGGAACCAGGTGATTGGTTCCGCCTCCCAGCGAGGAGGGGTGGAATAACGGAAGCCTAGCCGAAGGAGATAGTGGTCGGTCCATGACAGGGGATAAATAGAAGGCAATCCCCCACCAAACTCCACTCGCAAGATCGGGCGTGTCGCCCCCCCCCCCCCATGAGTCGGGCCCTGAATAATCTGAGTCAGGTCCATAGCTACCATGGAAGCCGTGAACTCCTGAGCCACCCCCGATGCTGCACCCAGGGATGGCAGATTGAAGTCCCCCAGAACAATGAGTCTGGGAAACTCCACCACCAGCCCCGAGAGGGTGTCAAGTAGCCCGGGCAGGGCTGTTGATACGCAGCTGGGAGACAGGTATGCAATCAACAAGCCCAACTGGCCATACAGGCCCCACATCATGAGGAGGGCCTCACATCCGTCAATCTTAGAAGCAGTGACGTCCCGCGGACTGAGGACCTCCCTAATAACCATCACCACCACCCCTCCCCTACCCTGGGCCCTTGGCTGGTGCAGTACCCGGAAGCCTGGTGGGCACAATTCAGTCAGAGGGACACCCCCCTCTGAGCCCAACCAGGTTTCCATAATGCAAGCCAGGTCTGCGGTTTCCTCCTCAATCAAATCACGAATGAGGGGAGCTTTATTGACCACAGACCTAGCATTAAAATAGACCAGCCTAAGCCTAGGGACCCTATCTCTCAAACCCTCAGGAGGTTGGATAGAACCAGGAGGGTCGGAGCACGCCACCGCTCGGAGATAGCGAGGGCGGGCTCCCGAAGTCCGATACGGCCCTCCGTTCCTCCACCTACAGCCATTCCCAATTACAACCGGTATCTGAAATCCCACCCTCACCCCTGGTGCACCGGATGAGCCAGCACCGCACCAAAACCTCCGCCAACTCCCCAAAATCTGGACTGGAAACGACCTGGCAGGGCCCCCACAATCACCAGCCGGATGTCAAAACCCACCCCCCTCCCCAAACCCCTTAAAAATCTAGCTAAAAAACAATGAAACGACCCCTTACTAAAACCCTTAAAGCCCTCATGCCACCTCTCGGGGTCCCAGGACCCGTCATTACGGAAGATCTTCGCCAGGCCAGCAGGCCACTCCAAGGAAAGGGGGGCATCCCTCAGAGCGACCAAGTCCGCACTTGCGTATGTTTGTACTACCATCCCTGAACCTCAAGGCACAGGGGACTGTCCATAAAGAGTGGGATATATCAAGCTGGTCCATCCCAGGAGACAGGAACCTCCATTCCGGGTGTCCTCCCACGATTTAGTGACTGGTTCGAAGTTACAACAACGCTGAAAAAAGTGACCTATGGCTATTTTTCACACTTCTGACCCTTGCAGCGTCGCCATGGCCACACAATCAAAATTTGAATGCCTAGGATCATGTTATCACCGTGAACAAGCGAAGTCAACGGGAGAAACCAAATTTGCTTAACAACCGTGTGATTAACTTAACAACCAAGGTGATCGGCTTAATGACTGGGACAATAAAAAAGGTTATGAAATTGGACGCCTTTAATACTGTACTTACCTGTATTGAATAGTTTCCGAGGTGGTTGAAGCTCTCAGTTTCGTCATTAGAATCCTAACTATGTTAAACAGGAACACAAAATTGATCTGTGAGAAGGGAAAAAGAGAGAAAACCAAACTAAGGAACTTCAGTAGGGAATAAATGCAACTGGATAATCTTTCTGCCTCTGCACCCACAATTTACAATTTTTTTTTGCTAAAATTTAGGTTATTTCCAGTTTTTGGCAAAAATGCCCCATGGTGAACAATGAGTTGCAACTGCATATGCATTTAACAACCATGGTGATTCGCTTAATTACCGCTGCAAAAATGGTGGCAAAATTGGGTTGATCATATGTTGACTGCTTTACGGCTATCATGACTTATGACAGTAAAGGGCAGACTCCATTATGTTTGTAATCCGAGGATTATCTTTAATGACTGATATTTCTAAATATACTCTATATTTAAGTCTTTGAATTCCTCTGGTTGCTTATAAGGAATGGAAAATGATGGACTAGACAGTGTTTCTCAAACACGGCAACTTTAAAATGTATGGATTTCAACTCTCAGAATTCCCTAGCCAGCCATGCAGATTGGGGAATTCTGGGAATTGAAGTCTACACCTCTTAAAGTTCCCACAGTTGAGAAACATGAGTATGAATTGTAAAATTGACTGTTTATTTTTCAAGAGTCTTGGAGCTTCATCCAAATAGTAGGTTTCCTCTATGAAACAATTCAGCCACTCTGCTTTGTTAATTAAGATTTGGCAGTTATAGAGGCTGGGGAAGTTGATCCTAGCATCAGCATTCCTAATTAATCCAGAATTGTTTGCATTTCAGGAAGTGTTTGTCTCTGTAGCTTGAAAGGGATGATGTTATGATTAGGCTGGAAGGAGAACATTCTTTAGGATGGACAGATGGATGGAGAACATTCTTCAGATCAAGGGTGGGGAACTATGGCTCTTTTTTGACCTGTGACTCCCAGAATTCCTGAGCCTAAAAGGGGTTGTAGGTCCCTACCTCTTCTTTAGATGGAGACATGGATGGATGGACAGACAAACACAATATTCCATATCTTGTAAGCTAACCCTTTTCCACCTATTTTCCTTGCTGCCATTTTTTTAAAAAAAAATATTAGGTTTGTCTCTCTCTCTTTTTTTTTTTGTCCCCCTGATCCAGGTAATGGAGCTTGTGGCTAAGAAGCAACTTTGGCCATTATCCTAGATGGTTCACCAAGAAAGGATTAGATAAATTCGTGAAGGATAATTCTATGGAAGACTGTGAGTCTTGAAGACTCCATATCACCACCTTCCTGCCCCAAAATGCCAGCTCTTGGGGGCCAAGGATATGAGTTTTTTACTTACAGCTTGAAGGTCATCTGGAAAGAAAATGCTGGATTAAGGTAGATCCTGGCTGATTTAGTACCATTGCTATAATTTGGTATCTACAGATCAGCATAAATATTGGATGGTCTAATTAAAGCTTGTGGGGGCTGAATGTGAGATGTTGAATCAATTAGGCCATCTCCTTCAGGATTACAAAACAGCTTAAAACTCTTTCAATTTTAACAATTTTAACACTTTCTTTCTCTGCCTTCATTTCTCTTTTCGGCGTGTTGCTCATTTCCTGATGAACACAACTTCCATGCAAGTACAGGACATTGGTCTTACAGGTAGTCCTTGACTTATGATTGCAATTAGGACCAGAATATCTGTTGCTAAGCGAAATGATAAATACTCAGTCAATCAATCAATCAGAATAGAGCTGGAAGGGACCTTGGAGGTCTTCTAGTCCAACCCCCTGCTCAAGCAGGAGAACATATACCATTTCAGACAAGTCCAGTCTCTTCTTAAAAACCTTGGACACTTGGCATCTTCAGGACTACCTGTAAAACAATTCATGGTTTTGCCTATGACACTCAATTTAAGCGAAAGATGGACTTTGAAAAAGTAGATTGATTCCTTTGAACTTTGGGGCTGGAGAAGACACCTGAGCTGTGTTTCTCAATCTCTACAACTTTAAGATGTGTGGACTTCAACTCCCAGAATTCCCCAGGCAGATGTGCTTACCACCATTGCAACATCCCCATGGTCGTTCCATCAAAAGTTGGACAGTTGGCATCTGGCACATATTTAAGACGACGGCAGCCTCCCAGGTTGTGATTTGCAACCTTCCCAGCCGACCTCTGACAGCCAAAGTCAATGGGGGAATCCAGATGTGCTTAACAACTGCACGATTCACTGAACAATATGGCAGAAAAGGTTGCAAAATTGGATGCAGCTCATTTAACAACTGCCTTGTTGTTTACCGATGGTAATTCGGGACCGAACTGTGTTTGTAAGTCAAGGATTCTCTGCAACTTTGCTTGCGTTTAATTCGTAATGTGGTAAAATGGAGTAATTAAACGGGGTGGAGGAAATTAAGAAGAGCAAGAAAGACAAAGGGAGTCAACTCTGCGTGATGCAATCTTCACATCACAGAAGAGTGAGTTTGGGAGCGCCAGCATGTCGCTTATCTCAAGGATTTCAATTCGATTCAGAATAGAGCTGGAAGAGACCTTGGAGGTCCTACTCCAACCCGCTGCTCAAGCAGAAGATCCTATACCATTTCAGACAAGTCCAGTCTCTTCTTAAAAGCCTCCAGTGATGGAGCATTCACAACTTCTGGTGGCAAGCTTAATTAAATCCTTAATTCCAGGTTGCTTCTCTCCTTGATTGGTTTCCATCTATTATTTCTTGTCCTGCCCTCTGGTGAGTCATCACATGAGCCATTAAGTGAGTCATCACGTGAACGTGTCTGACTTCAGGACCTTTTTGCCACGGTTGTTAAGTGAATCAACATAGTCGTTAAGCAAATTTAGCTTCCCCCACTGACTTTGCTGGTTAGAAGCCAGCTGGGAAGGTCACAAAGGGTGAACACATGACCCCATTGTAAACACATGTCAGTTGCCAGGCATCTGAATTGCAACCACATGACCATGGAGATGGCTGCAAACGCAAGGATAATCACTTTTCCCAGTATTGTCGTAACTGTTGTGGTCCGCCAGCAATCTGCGGAGCTGGCAGCAGAGTCGGACAGTGAGGAGGCTGAGGAAGAACATGGGCCAGTCCTGGAGGCTGGGAAGGCCCGGATGAGGGCTCTGCATCGGGGGCAGAGATGGGGCCAGGGCCATCTGGGAGTGATATGCGGACTCTGGAGCCTCCAGAGGCTGACAGCAGAGAGGCAGAGGAACAGGAGGAGCCTGTTCCAATGCACACATGAGAAGAGCTGCCAGAAGGCAAGAGCAGCTAAAGCAAAAAGGACGACTCGGGAGTAGGGCCAAGAGATGATTGGCCCCTCCCATAAGGCTTAAAAGACAGCAACGGATCTTGGGCTTTGTCGGAAAACAACGTTGATAGATTTGTTTCTTGTCTTGCTGCATTTATTTCTTGTTGGCGTCTTCTGCTTCTGAAGTTTTGCCAAGAGAAGCCTTTGGCAGGTTGCCTAATTAGACCAAGGTTGGTGATAAGGCTGAAAAATTGTGTTATGAAGAATTTGTTTGGAATTAGTTTGGACTACGCTGAGAATGAGTTAATTCTCAGCTGTTGTAATAAAGTCTGTTTGTTTCGAACTGATTGCGTCTGATAATACCTACTTGGGCTTGGATCACAACAGTAACTTCAAAAAGTCACTAAATGAATAGTCATAAATCAAGGACTACTGAATAAATGTCCGAAGACGGCTTCCTCCATAAAGGGCTCACCACAAATTCATTTAAAGCAACTGGAAACTCCATCCACTGCAGAGGAAGTTAATAAATTCAGAAATCACTAGCACGATGGAGCCTTTATAGGCACTCAGAAAAGAAGGATCTAATAAGCAAGTAAAGGGTCGTGAAGCATTCCAGATTTCCTTTTCCTTGTGAGGCAAAGAGGGAACCTGACTCACCCACTGAAATTAAAAGCTCCATTAATCAGCACACAGCTTCAACTCACTTCTGCCTTGGTAGTCTGCAGCTTTTAAATGATAATGACAACAACTACAAAAGTTTGTTTTCGTGTGCACAGAGTGATGTTCACATTTCAAGAAGGTCAAAGACAATTTGAAGAAACTCAGAGAAGAAATTCATTGCAGATGGTCTACGATGCTCACACTGATCGTGCAACGATTCAGAATTAGACTCCTTGACTCAGGAGCTCAAAACAGCTTATCTTTCTCTTACAACAACCCTGCAGAGTAGACTGGGTGAGAGAGACAGAGCGATCTGCCAAGGAGGGTCTATGGCTGAAGGGAGACTAAAGTTGTGATTTCCCCAGTTCTAGCGCGGCATCCTTTCTCCTGTTTAAATCTTGACATTTATTTATTAATTTATATCCTACTTTTGTTATTTTTATTAGGCAGCAAATGCACCCAATACTCCTTCCTTCTTCCTATTTTTCCAACAACACTCCTTTGAGGTGGGCTGGGCTGAGTGGTCCATGGTCACTGAGTTGCTTCAATAGCAATAGCAATAGCATTTAGACTTATATACCGCTTCACAGTGCTTTTACAGCCCTCTCTAAGCAGTTTACAGAGTCAGCCTATGGCTGAATCTGGGTCCTCATTTTACCCACCTTGGAAGGATGGAAGGCAGGATCAACTTTGACCCTGGTGGGATTTGAACTGCCAAATTGCAGGCAGCTGACAGGCAGCAGAAGTAGCCTGCAGTACTGCACTCTAATCACTGCGCCACCGAGGCTCTTCCATGCCTAAAATAGGACTAGAACTCATGATTAATCCCAAAATTACACAGTTGGCTTTCATACCTGAATCAAGATTAGAACTCATCGTCTCCAGGTGTTTGACCCAAAGTCACCCAGCCAGCTTTCATAACTAAGGCAAGACTAGAACTCACAGTCTCCTGGTGACTAGCTCAAGGTCACCGAGTCAGCTTTCATGGTTGAGGCAGGACTAGAACTCACGTCTCCTGGTGACTCGCTCAAAGTCACCAACCTGACTTTCATGCCTAAAGTGGTACTAGATATCCTCATGGTTATATAATCTGAAAAAGGGAATATACTGAATGTTGATTCAGTCAGCGCCACACTATTCTTTCTGCATTTTGGTCAAATTCTGCTGCTTTTTGGA